AAATGAATTGTGAACGTTCTGCCCTAATGCTGGGGAAATGCTGAGCTGCTGGAATCACATCTGACAGCTCCTGGAGTTCTGGGGGGTGTCTGGAGCATCTGGGGGCTGCTGCTGTGCGTGAGGGCAGAGCTGAATACCTGCTGGAGGTGGTGCCCTGTTAGCAGCAATTCATGGCTGGGAGTCTTTGGTGGCTGTGGCTGGCATGGGAATTGCTTCTTCTGAAGGGGAAGGCACTAAGAGATATTAATCTCTAATTAATGCCTTATAAGTACAGAATATCTCAATAAATTAACCCCTGAGAAAGGCCTTTTTTCCATCTTTTCAAGTATTGTTAAAACGGGCAGGGACCAATCTGTGGTGGAATAAATATTCCTCAAGATGTGGCTCTCAGAGCAGAGATTGGACACAAACTGTTACCCACAAGGTTTGGGATGGCAAGGCTGTGATCCCAGCAGGAGCTGAGAGTTGCTGCTCCCAATTTTTTGGGATGGGTGCCCTCCTATGAAACACTTGGCACCTGTGGGCACTGGGACTACAAGAATGTGCACACCTGCTTTTAATTCAGAAGCCAAAACCCAGATAAATTCAAGTTCTATACCAGAAAGGATTCATACAATTTATCCAAAAGCTGATTTTCCCACTGACTGGAGTTTTAATTGACATATTGCACCGAGGAGGGGAAAAAACGAGGCAAGAATGAGCCTCAGTTGGAATGGAGGAATGGGGAAGAGAAATGTGTGAACCTCTCCTTGCCCCGGACGGTTTTTGGTATTTCCTGCCTGGGAACAGTGCAGGGATCAGGTGTCACCCGGCCCAAAGCAAAGGGCTGTGCCTGCTCAGGGGACAGCAGCTGCTGCCAGGGGAGGCACCAGAGCTGCAGGGCGCTGAAATCAGAATTTATTCCACGCGAATAGGTCCTCAAATGGCAACAGAACTCATCTAATTTAATGTGCAAAGAGCAAGATGGAGCTGAAGTCGCTGTCTGAGATCCAGCTCCAGATATAGCACGTGTTCTTGCAGAAGGAGGTTTGAATGTGAAAGTAAATGTGGGTAAATGTATCAGGTTTTCATTTAAAAATCACACAATTGGAATTTTCGCAAAAAACATCCCCCAACCACCACCACCACCAAAAACCCAAACAAACAAACAAAAACTAGAAAAAAACCCAGACAAAGAAACAAAAAACCAGAAAAACCCCACAAAAACCTAAACCAACAAACAAAAACCATGAAAAAAACCCAAAAAACCAAACCAACAAACAACAAAGCCCAAATAAATGACCAAACCAAACAAACCAACAAACAAAAAAACTCCCTCCATGTTTCTGAACTTTGGAAAATCAGAATTTTGACTGAGCAGGGTCATGCCTGAGCTGCAGGTTCCTCATGCAGAACCTGCCACTCTCAGCTGTGTGACAGGGAGGGAAATAATTCGAAAATGATGTTGAACTGTGGGAAAAATGGGAATTCTGCTTGAGTTCTTCCCAGGCCGGGAGTGCTCCGCTCTCCCTGCCTGGCCTGGCAGAGCCTCTGCAGCCAGATGTGGGCTGAGTGACTCAGTTCAGCTTCTGGAGAGGCTGTAATGTATTTCCTGTGCTTGAAAAGAGCTGCTTTCAATTAATAAAATTGGTTTTTTACCGTGTACTCTCAGTGCCAGCTCCTCCTCTGTACATCTCCCATTCTGCCTTGAACCCATGGGAAAGCCCTTATGGAAAGGTCTGCAAGGAATCTGGGCTCATCTCCTTCCTTCAGGGAAGGGATTTTAATATTTTTATAGGACTTTTCTTTCCTAATTGCTTCATTTGCAAGCCCTTTTCTGAGGGCCCTGGAGCACCCAGAGTATCTGAGGAGGAGAAATATCTGTTGATCAACCTGGAGCATGGACGAGCATTCATTCCAAATATTCCATTACTTCTGGAATAAACCCATCACCAGCTGGATCATTAAACTGCAGGAATAGTCACTGAGTGAGGCTTGGGAGAGGGTGCTGGGACAGAAATAGGCTGGAATCTCTGACTCTGGGTCAGGTGTTGGAGCTGGCTCCGTGGCACAGCTTCTCTCTTTTCCCATGGGATCAGGCAGGTGCCCCGCATCCCCTCCGGGATAAAAATGTGCCAGGAATGCAAATAAGGGCTGGGCATTAATCCCTGCAGTGCTTGGAGTTAAAGGGGCAGTGCTGGGGAGAAGAACTCCCAGGGTACAGGATTATTTAATGTGCAAAGGAGGTGGGGAAAGGAATTTTCTCCAAGCGAGCTGGAGTTCGGCGGGGAACGGGGTGAAAAATCAGCCTGGTGACAACACCAGCTTTTCCTTGGGGAACAACGTGATTGCCAAAGCTGCTCTGGGCCAGAGCCACGTGGATGAGTCTCTTGTGGATTAATTAATTAGACAATTGCTGGGGGCATTCTGAGGGTTTGCAGTGCCACTGTGCCGAAGGATCAGAGCTTGAGCTTTAACCCTCGTTTGTTCTCCTTGCTGCGATTAAATGAGGCTCTTGTGCAGCTGATGGGGAGATCAAACTCATTAATGCACAGGACAAACCTTCATGACAGCCCCCAGAGGGCTCTTCCTGCCCTCCCACAGAGCAGGGAGGGGGCTCTGAGAAGGTTCAGATTATCCTGGTCAAAATTCGGCAGTGATGCTGAGGGGGGTTGGTTGCCAGAGGTGAAATGCAATTTTTGGCATTATGAGGTAGCCAGGAATGCTTCAGACTGTGTGTGGTAGAAATCAAGGCAAGATATGGGGGAAAAGGGATCAGAGAAGATGCACAGCTGCCCATTCAGACAAAATGGCAATATTTGTAATACTGGCATTCTGTCTGAACTGCAGATTTCTGTTTCTTGGACTTAAAAGGCAAACAAGAAACCACATTTATCCGAGTTTCCCTTTTTGAGTGGGTGCTTGTGGAAGGCATTCTGTTTGTGTGTGTGCACCTGGTGCATGGATACCAAGGTGACAGATTCTCCAGAAATCCATCTGAAGAGCTGTCAAGCTATTACCTTACAGAATGAGCGGAGCAGAAAGGACAGTGCAGAATTTAAATATAGCACTTGAGCACTTAAACTGCTCTGCCATTTGATTGAAATGTTTCCTTCCCCTTGTTCCTGCTGCTATAGATTTTCCTTTCCTGACACATTGGCTCTGTCCTAGATGGCAGTTTCTGATGTTCAGAGTTCCTGTGAAGTTTATTTTCAAACAAAACCGAGGCAGTCCGTGCAAGAATAACTATTTTGATTTGGGTTGACAAATATTTTCTAACCTGAAGCTAATATTTTTAAAGGTTCAGGCTGTTGAACAATGAAAACTGAAGCTGTGTCAGGTTGATTTAGAGATGTTTTTGTGTTGATTATTTTTTTTTTTTTTGAGAGAGAGAGAACACGCTTGAAATTCACGCGGCTGAGTTTTAGTCACTGCCTTAGAGGACTTAATTTTATATCTTATTTTTTCCAACGTGAGAACAAGGCCTCATGCACGATCAATCGGCGAAATTCAGAGGATACTGATGGAGAATCACTGTCACAACATTTTTCCTGATTTGATTTCGTCACCGGGATTTTGCCAGCCGTGTCTGACCCTGCCTGCAGCTCCCTTGGGCCGTGGATGCCGAGAATTCCCCCTGCAGCGCCTTTGTCCTGCACGCGTGGCTCTCCTCGTGCGCTGTCCCGCACCTCGGCCCCCGCATCCCCCACGGGCATTTTGGAAGCAGCATCACCCCAGAGAACTCTTTTAAATCAGTTTTCACTCGTGGGAAACTGAGCTAAAAGCTCGACCAGTGCTGCTGCCACCTGCTGCTGCTGCTGCTGTGCTGCTGCTGTGCTGCTTTTTTGGCTGTTCCTCAATCCCCCTCCTCCTTCGGCTTCTCTGCGAGCAGTCAACGGGGACAAAAAAAATAATAATTAAAAAAATAATCAAAAACCCGAACAAACAAACAAACAAACAAATCAAAAACCCAAACAAACAAACAAACAAAAAATCAAAACCCCAAACAAACTCAAAAAGAAGAATCCAAACCAAAAACAAAACAAAAAACCAAACAAACCCCCAAAAAAACCAAAACACAAAAAAAACCCAAACCAAAAACAAAACAAAAAAAACCCCCAAAACCAACAAAAAACAAAAAAAAAAAACCCAAAAAAACAACAAAAACCCAAAATAAATAAAAAAAACCACCCCTGAAACAAACAAAAAAAGAAAAAAAAAGAAAAAAAAATAGAAATTATTGTGAAAGAAGGCTGAAGGTCCAAGCTCGCTGGCTGCCCCCCTCTCGGGGAGGGCTGCCTGAGCAGGAAGGGGGGACAAAAAGGGACAAAAAGGGACAAAAAGGGACAAAAGGGCCAACCCAGCCCCGCTGGCTCCTCCGGGAGGCTCTTCCCTCTCCTCCTCCCTTCTCCCCGGCGGATCCGTGGCAGCAGCGCCCTCGGTAACACAAACCCTGCGTGTCGGGATTAGGAGCGCGGTTCCACTCTGCGACAGCTGCCCGTGTGTGTCTCACCCGCTACACAAACAGCACAAGCTGCTCCTGCTGCTCTTTTTTTTTTTTTTCCGGATTTTTATCGAGCCTTGTTCCTCCCCTCCCTCTGTTTCTCTCTCTGCCCTCCCCACAGCTCCACGCCGCTCCTCTCCATGCTTGCCTCGTCTCTCGAGAAGAAACCGCAGCCGAGTTTCCCCCGAGCAGCCCCGGGAGATTTTTTCCTTCCCCTGAGCCAGCAGAAGGCAAAGGGGCGCTGGGGAGGGCCCTGAACCCCGGCCAAGCCCCTGGGGCAGGGCTGGACCTGCTTGGAGAGAGAGCGGGCAGGGGAAGGGAGGGACTTTGTGTAGAGCGGAGAAGGAGAAAAGAAACTCGAAACTTGTGACATGTGTGTGTGCCGGCCATCCCCTCCCAGCGCGCTGGGTGCTCCCTGAGAGCACGTGAAGAACATGAGGTTTCCTGCTTGAGAGGGAGGGCAGCAGCAGCAGGAGGAGGAGGAGGAGGAGGAGGAGGAAGGCGAGTTGTGGCTTTGTGGCGTGGTTTACGCCGAGATCAGAGCTCCGAGTGCCTGGGGGTGGGAGCAGAAGGAGGAAAGGGCGTCTGATGCCAGCTGCCAACATGACAGAAACGCTGCAGCTCCCGGCGCTGCGGGTCCCCGAGCAGCAGGTGCTGGAGGGCGGCTGCGCCTGGTCCAGCTCGTCCACCCCGACCCTGCGCAGGAAGCGCTTCAAGATGAGGAGGATGAAGAACGTGCAGGAGCAGAGCCTGGAGGCCGGCAGGTACCAGGAGTCTCCTTCCTCCAGCAAGGAATACCTGCAGCTCCCCTCCATTGAGATCACCCCGTCCAGTGACGAGGACACCCCCTGGTCCAACTGCTCCACTCCCAGTGCCTCCCCGCGCCGCAAGCGCTTCCTCCTTCGGAAGTGGCTGCGCGTCCGAGAGAAGAAGGAGTGCAGTGAGAGCAGGTAGGTCCTCAGCCCGCTCCCCTCCCTCATCCCGAGGTGATGCTGCCCAAAATAGCCTGGAAGGGTCTGTTGTTGCCCTGGAGGTGGCTCTTCCCGGATTGTGTCCTCGCCTGTTGGCTGGAGTGTGGAATGGTGGTGGTTGGATGTGCTGGTGCCAGAGGAAAAGGCCCGGGAGCTGTTTGGGAATGGCAGGGCCAGGCTCTGTCCTTGCTCGTGGTCCTCCAGGTGACACTGAGCCAGTGGGTGAGAAGATTCAACCTCACTGAGGTGTCCTGAAAGGACCTGAGAGAGAGCACTGACCTCTCTGCTGTAGTTTATTAATTTTTAAAGGACTTTCATCAATGGATGCACGCCATTGAGGAGCTGATAATCCCTCTCAGCAAGTTCACATTGAAAACCATCTCTTGGTTTTCTGATTTTCACAGGTGTGGGAGGAAAAGAGGAACAGGCCCGGGAGCTGTTTGGGAATGGCAGGGCCAGGCTCTGTCCTTGCTCGTGGTCCTCCAGGTGACACTGAGCCAGTGGGTGAGAAGATTTAACCTCACTGAGGTGTCCTGAAAAAAAATGGGATGGTTCATTAGGATCAGGTGACACTGAGCCAGTGGGTGAGAAGATTTAACCTCAGGTCCTAAGGAGACCTGAGAGAGAGCACTGACCTCTCTGCTGTAGTTTATTAATTTTTAAAGGACTTTCATCAATGAATGTGCGCCATTGAGGAGTTGATAATCCCTCTCAGCAAGTTCACATTGAAAACCATCTCTTGGTTTAGGAAATATTTCTGATTTTCACAGGTGTGGGAGGAAAAGAGGAAAAGGCCCAGGAGCTGTTTGGGAATGGCAGGGCAAGGCTCTGTGGACACAGAGGCAGTGGGTGAGAAGATTTAACCTCACTGAGGTGTCCTGAGGAGACCTGAGAGAGAGGAGTGACCTCTCTGGTGTAGTTTATTAATTTTTAAAGGACTTTCATCAATGAATGTGCACCATTGAGGAGTTGATAATCCCTCTCAGCAAGTTCACCATCTCTTGGTTTAGGAAATATTTCTGATTTTCACAGGTGTGGGAGTGACGCTGCCAAACCCTGCCAGTGTTTTTGGGTGATGCTCCTTCCCACCACTGAGACTTCCCTTGAGATCCTTAGCTCAGTAACAGGACAAAGAGGGGACAAGGAGGGGACACCAAGCAGCCCAGTGGGTCTGTGTGTCAAGGTGGCTGGGCTCAGCCCTTGGCAGCTTTCCAGACCTGAAAGTCACCCAGTCCTTTGGCTGGAAAGGGCACAAATCATTCCCAAGGGCCTCCAGGAGCCTGTCAGCACAGGGAATGAATGCCCAGGCATTGTAATTGTGTGGCCACAGGAGATAAAGCTGCACCTTATGTAACCCTCTGCAGGGCACCCCACATGCAGGGGAATTAACTCCTCTTTAACAATCTACATGCAGTGAATTAACTCCTCTTTAACAATCTACATGCACTGAAATTTACTCTTCTTTAACAATCTACATGCAGTGAATTAACTCTTCCTTTACAATCTACATGCAATGAATTAACTCTTCTTTAACAATTTACATGCAGTGAATTAACTCTTCCTTTACAATCTACATGCACTGGAATTAACTCTTCTTTTACAATCTACATGCACTGGAATTAACTCCTCTTTAACAATCTACATGCACTGGAATTTACTCTTCTTTAACAATCTACATGCAGTGAATTAACTCTTCTTTAACAATCTACATGCACTGGAATTTACTCTTCCTTTAATACATGCAGTGGAATTGACTCCTCCTTTAACAATCTGCCTTTCCTGAAGGCCCCAAACCCACAAGACACTATAAAGATTTCTCCAAGAAACTGATATAAGTTTACAAATCTGGCTTAGTGTGGGCCAAGTTTTCTTCCACTGTTTGCAGCTCCTGTGCAGCTGATCTGTGAGGTTGTGTTTCAAGGATGTGCTGCACTTCCAGAAAAAGAGAAACCATTTCTGCACCCACCAAACCACACTGACTCACTGCCTGCTGTGGTGCTTGAGTGTTTACAGGGCAGAGCTTTGAATATCCACTCTGATTATCTGATAATTTTTTCTTTCATCAGGTCCCTTTGGCAAGGTCAGTCTGTCAGCTTATTAATTTTTAAAGAACTTTCAGCAATGAATGCGTGCCATTGAGGATCTGATAATCCTTCTCAGAAAGTTAACATTGAAAAACATCTCTTGGTTTAGGAAATATTTCTGATTTAGGAAATACTTCTGACTTAGGAAATACTTCTGATTTAGGAAATATTTCTGATTTAGGAAATACTTCTGATTTAGGAAATACTTCTGATTTCCACACAGCAGTGGTGGTGCAGGTAGGGATTCAGGCACAGCACACAAAATGGGAAAGACAATGCATGAGGCACGTGCTGAAGTGTCAGAATATTGAAGTTGTGGTCACAGGTTCAGAGGATGAAGGATCCAATCCTTCAGCTGAAGAACTTAATCTGAATTTTTTCATGGTGAACGAGTTTCAGGCAGGCCAAGAGATGTTTATTTTGGTGTGAAGGTGGAAGAAAGAGCCAAGTTTCCTCGTACATTTGTCGTTTACAAATGTTTCCATGCTGACAATTTCCTGCTTATTCATCCCCAAGGGGTTTTTGGTGATGTTTCCCAAGCAGTGACTGGAAGGAAGGTGGAGTGGGGGATGGCTTAGGTGGCATTAGCACGACAAAACCAGCCTGGCACCTCCTTTCTTCACCTGCAGCAGGCTCCAGATCTGCCCCTTTCTGCGTGGCAAACAGGGGGTTTGCAAATGGAATTTTCCCTCTCTAGCCCAGGGGGAAAAGCCCGGTTTGGTCACAGTGCTGAGCCTTGGGCTGGCAGAGAGCTGGGATCAGCCCTGGGCTCTCCCACCAGAGCAGAGCAAACAGCCCACAGGAGCATGGGGAAAACGCCAATCGCTTGTTCTTAGAATTTCAAAAGTTTGATAGTAATAAAATGGTTATAAAGATAGTAATAAAAAATTTGGGCAATTAGGATTTAGGACAATACGAGACAACAAAAACAAAGAGTTATGGACAGTCTGGGTACCTTTTCTGGGCACCATAAGCCCAAAAAAGGACCCACGTTAACAGAGGATTAACCCTTAAAAGCAGCAGCCTGTTGCATATTCATACACCTCATCCATGATGCAGAAATTCCATTCAAACACAGGATTCTGGCTGGGCAGTGTCAGCTTCTTCCTCTGAGTCCTGAAGGTGTCTTCAGGGCTGAGAGAGGTGGGAAGAAGTTCTTTTCTTCTGATAAGGGAGCAATAAATTTTCTTTCTCTGAAAGATTTAGCTCCTGTGGCTGCTATCTCAGTGCAAGTACCTCATTCCTCTCTTTTAAAAACTCTTACATAGCACAGTTTCTATTTTAACATTATGCTATAACCTAAACTATATTTAACACACTAGTTAAGAAAATTAATGCAGCATAACTTTTTAACACAACACATATAATATTCATTCAAATATTTGCAAAAAGCCAATCATAAAATACCCATTTTTCACAAGCAGAACCTGCGAGGAGCTGGCCACGGAGAGGGCGATAAACCCTGAGGGGTTTGTGGCGTTCATTTGACAGACCTGGGGCAAACCTTGCTGTGCCCCCAGTGAAATGTAACTTTTTCAGGGCAAGAAGCTGTTTTGCTATAAACCAGAAATTGCCTGTTTGCTGCTTTAGCAGGGTCAGACAGAGCACCTGCTCTGTCCTCTGCTGTTCTGCTGTGCCACTGCTGTTGGTGACAGATGCTCCCAGTGTCACCTCTGTGCTGTGTGATGCTTGAGGGCAGCAGGGACAGCTGTGCTGGGTGTCACCCTGTTCTTCTAAGCCTTCTGGTGTTTACAGTCTTGTAATGAAGTTTCTCACACACTTTTATGTAAATAATGATTGTTTTACACTCTTTACTGGAAGAAGAAAACATTAATAGACTGTTAGTTTGTGCAGTGTCATTGGAGAAGTAGCACTTTAATCCTCCAATCCACTGTCACTTTGGGAAGTCTATAAATATTAGAGGCAAAAAATAAACTGCCCCTTCTCCTTACCTTAGAGTTCCGGTGTCTGCATCGTTTTATTTCATGTCCTCCTGCAGCAGCTGAGGGGTTTTGTGCAGCAGATCACTCCCCGAGCTTGTATTTCATCATTCACCTGCTGCTCAGTGACAGTGCTTGGCCTGCCCGGTGTCCCCAGCATGTGCCACCAGCCTGTGCTGGGAGCGCAGGCACCCATGGGGTGAGCAAATCCCCAAATTTCACCTGGTGAAGGCAGCAGCCGTCAGGCTGTGACCCCCACTGGAGAAACAAACAGAAATAAACACAGTTTGCTCCCAAGCACTCCATTCCTCTGGCTGAGTTGCCATCGAGCTGCAGTGTCACCGTCAGATTTTCTGAAAAATCCCTTTGCTGGGAAGCTGAGAAGCCTCAGAGAAAAAGGAAAACAATAATTATCTGCTTGCTTCTCCTGTGTTTGGCTGCTTTGGAATGTGTTTGGAGATTGTTCGTCCAACAGCTGCTTTTTTGATTGGTTTCATGTGAATTGTTTTGACTTAATGACCAATCACAGCCAGGCTGTGTCAGGGCTTTGGAAGCAGTCACAAGTTTTTATTATCATTCTTGTTAAGCCTTCTGTCTGTATCCTTTCAACATAACATAAGATAACAGACATAACATAACATATAACGTAACATAACATATAACATAACATATAACAATAACATATAACATAACATATAACATAACATATAACAATAACATATAACAATAACATATAACAATAACATATAACAATAACATATAACATAACATGACATATAACATATATAGCATCGTATAATATAGCATCATATAATATAATACAATATAATACAATATAATACAATACAATATAGCATGATACAGCATAATATAGCATAATATAATATAGCATAATATAATATAGCATAATATAATAATATAATATAATATAATATAGCTTTCTAAGAAGATGGAG